GCACACCCATTTCCCTAAACTATAAACACTATTCCCCTTTTTGAAACATGAATCAGATTTGTTGAACTGTCACTGCAAAACTCTACACACAAATCCCTACATTTCTCAGTGCTTACACCATGTGGTCATTTAGAAAGCACTAGCATTCAATACTGTTCACTCAAGTCAGCATAGCTTGAGCTCAATTAGCACACAGTTACCCATGTGGAAACACTAAGATTCCAAATTGATCACACACCAATCAGAACCTTCAATCGATAGATAAAAGAGCCCAAGTCAGTTCATTCAGTTTTGGAACAATGGATCCAGAGAGATTGAAAAGGTCGAGGACACCAGAGAGGAAGAGGAGGAGGATGAGCAAGAGCAGTACACTCTTAAAAATAAAGGTGCTTCAAAAGGTTCTTCAAGCGATGCCATAGAAGAACCATTTTTGGTTCCACAAAGAACCATTCAGTCAAAGGTTCTTTAAAGAACCATCTCTTTCTTACCTTTTTATAATCTGAAGAACCTTCTTTCACCACAAAGAACCTTTTGTGAAACAGAAAGGTTCTTCAGATGTTAACGGTTCTTTATGGAACCATTTAGACAAAAAGGTTCTTCTATGGCATCGTGAAGCACCTTTAATTTTAAGAGTGTAAGGAGTGGAGGAAGTGGTGAAGGATGAGGAAGAGGAGGAGGATGAGGATGAGGGGCAAGGAGACAAGGAGTCTCAGATGAAATTCGTGCCACTAGTTGACCATGTCCTTGTCCATGGTATGACTATGAGGGAGGCTGGGCAATGAGTTCAGCCAAACTTAAGTTACTTCACCGTCGCCTCAATCATAAGAACCTCCAGGGAGGAAAACAGGCAGGTGTACCTCAGTGTACTCTACTGTAACTTTTGAGTGCTGTACTCTGTTACAACACATGCATCAAATTGCCTTACATACAGATAGAGTTTCTGTCTGCTTCCATTTTATAAAAAGGATGTTACAGTTACAGTAATCAGTACATCTATTTTTGTAGGACACAGAGACGATGGAATGGAAGAAGCCTGACAAGACATTTCAGCTGATGCCAGGTGGATCAGGCATGCAAGAGGATTCTCCCCCCACTGCCTAGCTAGGGCCAGTATAGCCTGTGATGTTGACGAGATTCTCTGGCCTGACCCAGAACAAAGATGTGATGCTGGGGCAGAATATTTTTTGTTGTTGTTTGGTGTATTGTACTGTACAGTACATTAAAGAATAAAAAATTTGCAAATGTATACATGTGTGTTCATTATGTGAAAAGTTCCTTGAGGGGGAGAACCATAAGCAACATAACTTATTCCTGGTTTTTGATTTTTGTTGTATTATTTTGAATTTATCTCACCAGTGTGTAAGACTATGTTGTAGTGTGTGTGTTTTTGAGGGCTTGTGTGTGATGTTTGGTTTTTCAGCAAGAGTGAATGGTTTTGAGTGTAGAGCTTCATTTTGACCTGAAAATAGGATGTTTGGGGAATTGGGTGAGACGTTATGGATTTGTGTTTACTGTTTTGAGAATATGAGGCACAGTTTCAAGAAATGTGTTTAAGCAATCGCGAAAAACTGTAACTCTACACACAAGCATAAGATAATTAGCCAAACTACACACAGATGTGAAACATGTAGAACACTACTCTCGTGTGTCTTTTGCTTGTTCAGTGCAGTGGAGTGCACAGGAGTTTGTCAAATACTCGCACATACATGCATATTCATATACAAAGTATATATGTACAACTGATGAATTGTACACAGTTATGCAACAGAACGGAATCAATACTGAACTGACTTGAGCTGTATAATGACACTATTGACTTGCTGCTTTACAGTATAATTTGAATCTGAAACTATTGTGAAGCTGCTGTGAAACAATTTATATTGTATAAAGCACTTTAGAAATAAAGTTGACTTTCTGAATTGGCTTGTATGCATATTCAGTGTGTGTGTGTGTGTGTGTACTGTACATACACACACATATACTATAATCATACATGTATATATACACACTGTAAACAGAAATGCAAGGGGGTAAAAAATAATTTCTTTTGATTTTCTAGTGAACAAATTACGTGTATGCGTACTGGGTGCAGGTCATCAGTAAAGAGTGTGGCATTTAAATGGCAGTGTTTCCCAAATGAAAGAAAAGAGTTGTTAGTTTTGAATGCTGCATGTAATGTAGAGAACTGTGTTTAGAGTTATGCAAAATGTTTGTTTTACATAGCAAACGGAGTTAAACGACACAGGACAGTCTGACCAGTAGGTGGCGCAGTGGCACCAATATCAGGTTTTCACAGACACAGTTTCTTCAGGTTGTCTTACACTAAGTGTTGTGTGTGGTTTATTTTAATACATTTTGTTTAAGTTTTGTGCTTTAAAAAAACTTCTTTTGGATTTCAAAGCAATCTGGCATTTCAGTGGTTTTCAAAGCTGTTAACTGGAAAGCAAGGTGGTTGATTGCTGATATGAAGTTGCTGTTGCTAGTGTCAATTTGTATGCAATATTTACTAACTATAAACTAAAACTATAATGTTAATGAACAGTATCATTCATTGACATTTTGGTTTTGGAAGACATTTATCAGTGAGATGCCTCAAAACACTGGCTGATTTATGAGCCTGTCTGAAATATGGGTTCATCACTGTTATGCAGACATCACAGGTGACCTCAGCATCAGACAAAAGGCCATTAGAGGTCATGCAGTGTGTGTCTTGTGTGTGTAAAGGTTGTTTTGGTCCAGTGAGAGCATCAGCGCTGATGAAGCAGAGATCTGCTGTGGAAGGAGGAGTGAGTTTACTTGTCTTCTGCTGCACTGCACACCTCTTGTTTTCCTCTAACAATGCAGTTAGTGAAGTGTTCAGTGACGCCGTAGTGCTCTTTATTTTCACAGGGATTACGCAGTGATTAGTTCGCAATAAACGCAATGGTAATTATGCAGTGGGAGATCTAATTTTCCACCAGGTTAAATAAAATGTTATGCACCCACATAATAATTAGATAATTAAATATTCTATCCATCTATCTATTATGTATTATTGAAAATACTATACTATGTAAAAATACTAATATATTACAAGATTTATTCATTATATTATTTTTATATAAATATAGATTTATTCAAACATTTTAATAAAATATTAAATATTTTAATATATAAACGTTTTATATTTAAATATTACATACATAGTTTATCCACATATATACATAAAAACACCCACAACTCTATATATGAATTATTACTTTGTAAAGTATTTGAATCAATAATTCAACATACCTCATGATGAGTAGTTATCAGCAATTGTACTTGAGATAAGGATCAGTCGCCACAAGGATTTCCTGTTTCAGAAAGATTCATATTCTTTCATCTCGGCTCATGTCATTAATTTGTGTCCTAGGGTCAGTTATGTCCTCTGCTGTGCATAACATCACTATCAACAGTCTTTGAAACAAAAACGTCAATCATCTTGTGTGCCTTAAAGACAATATTTCCCATTAAAACACTAGGTCTTCTGATGAAGTGCTGGTGTGTCATTTTCATCATAGTGATGAGATGGATGAAATGACAGTGATTATGTGTGATTCGGACCAGGCCGTTGTGTTTTTAGTCTGTCCCCTCTCTCTCAGACCAGTCTGAATAATGGATTTCATGAGGTTTATGAAAAATACATCTCTCCACCGGGGACGACAGACACAGACCCTCTCACCCCAGAACAAGCCACCGCCACAAAACCTCCTCAGAGGAGAATGTGAGCGCTCAGAGGTCACTCTTTCATTGCTCAGGAGACAGTCCTCAGTTACGTTTCACTGAAGACAGCTTTGTTTCTCTTAAAACTCCTAAAACAGAAGGAAAAGAGAAAAGTGTTTTCATACAGTAAGAATACTTTGTTTTCCCATTTATTGACTGACAGCTCTCCTGACCCTGTGTTGACAGAAATCAGAGGCGTTGATATATATATATATATAATTTTTTAAGTATTTTATGATCACCAAGGGTGCATTTGTGATCAAAAATACACTAAAATTTGTAATATTGTAAAATATCATTATAATTAAAACAATTAATTAAAACAAAAAAGCATTTCAATCATGACAACTCTCGGAACATTTTAGCATGGTGATGGATATGACAGTGTTAATGTATTTGGTCTTGGTGGAACAGATCTGCTACGCTGCTGCTGTTGGTTATTGCTGTAGTTGTAGATTATTGCTGCTGCTGCAAGCAAGTACAGGAACTTGCTACTGCCAATGCATATGGGATACGGTGCTATGAGTATTTAAGACATACTGCTGCTGCACAAATAGCATATAAAATAACCCCATAGCAGATCTATACAGGTGGAGCTGGGGAAGGTGGAGGGTTTCAGAGAACTCTGAAAGCGCGCTGCAGGAATCTCAAGTCAGTGCTAGCCAGCCATATAAATGCAAGGCAGTAAGCTCATTGGCTGCATATGCAGCATGAACCAATCAGCTTGTGCCAAGTTATTTAACTCTCTGAATGTCATCAGTTAAGTTAACACCCCGTCAGAATGTGCCATCTAGAGTTTCATGACTGAACTATATATTTCACAAAATAAATAACAGCATAAAGGTCTGGAGAGTCAAAGCCTTTAAACTAATTTGCTCTCCATTTAATCTCATTGTGATCTTTGAGAAACAATTGAGATCTCGTTGCAGACTTTTCATTCTGTTTATAGTATTTTGGCTATTTTCTTGCTCTTACAGTCCTCACGCATGCTGAGCTCTTATCATTGCTTTATTATGTCCCTGTAATTTCTAAAATAACTGCTCCCGCTCTCTTTTTCTCCCTTTTATCCGTCTCCCTTCCCCTCTCTCTCTCTCGTACTCAGCACCTCCTCCTTCTCCTCAGCTGGATTCTTCAGTCGGTGGGCAGGAACTGTGTCAGTTTCTGAAGAAGCCGAGAGAGAGAGAGAGGGAGCGAACTGTGTCTGGGTCAGCTCAGTCTGTCATCTCAGACAGTCAGAGAGAGCAAGACAGTGCGCGAGAGAGACAGACGGCACGCAGGCAGCAGGATACAGGAGGTATGTCAGAGGATGTGGTTTCCCTGAGCTTGCAGAACATTGCACAGACATACTTTGAGCATGACCTAACGGCAGCACGCAAAGTGTGTTTTCTGTGCTCCGCTAGCTGCCTGCCGCAGGAGGACTGATCCGCTCGGGATCCTTGCTTCTTGTTATTATTGTGCCGTCACATCCAACGGGAATCCTACCGTCACTCTTGCGGTACACACGCCGGACGGTGGATCGCTGACTCAAACTTGCAGCATCCGTGTGTCGACAGCTCCACAACAGGTAAGCGCTCCGTCTCCATTGATTTCCTCACTTCATGAAGCATGCTGTCTGTCTAGGAGGAAAGCAAACACGACAACAGTGCAGTGATAAAGAATCAATCATGGGAAGCCACAAGCCACAAGTTTGCCACTGTGTGATGTGCTACAGCAAACATCTCTATCTGTTAACACAGACACATGCTCCTTGTAAAGCATATCACACAGATCAATGGTTTAGTTTTTAGTCACATGTACAAAGTGTGATACTGACAGGAAGACTGCACACTTCCCTTCAATGCTTGACCGTTGGCTTTTCTTTAAGAAGTGTTTCTTCAGCACTTTATTTCGGTTGTTTGCCTGAAATCACAGGATTTTGGTGACAAACCTCTTTAATAGGATGTATTTAAATAACTTTGGAGCATGCATTCACTAAGTGAAGTTAAACATCAGCATTAAGTAACCTAATTTGTGTTCACACTGAAAGCGAAAATGCTGCATAAGGTAAAACAATCTGAAGATATTTGATGTTTAAAGTCAGCATGGAATAAAAATTCAGCTATTTTCTAAATGCATGTTATTGATTGTACTGTGAACTGTTCAGTTGTGCATGTTTTCATTTTACTTTTTTTTTGACCTCATAATTGTTTATCAAAATGTCTATCTTGTGGTCAAAGGACAGACATTTAGTGTGCATAAACCCCGCCCCTTTCTTACAGGCAAGCTCACATTCAGATCCACCAAGAATTGTTCTATTCCATTAATCCGTTTCACTCAGATTTACGTCACAATACAAAATAAAAGATCTGTCGCTACTTTTGTTTCATTGCAACTGTAGTATCAGCTACTGTTATGTGGTGCGTCATTTTTTACCAATGAGATTTCACTGTAGGGGGGCTTCCTTACACAACAGCGCATAAATAAATAAAAAAAATTTAAATTCAAGAGACCAACAAAATTTCCTGTTGCTCGTCCAATGTTAGTTTGCTATTGACAAAAAGTAACCCTAAAAAATAAGAATATTATGTATGTTCTGTAGTTTTTATTAGGCTTTTGCACAAAAAATCTCCCTGCAATTCTGGGTATGTTAGTTTATGTTTTTTTTTTTTTTAAAGTAACAAACTTTAATGCATACATAATTTCATAAGTTGTTCTTCTAATATTTATATATTTTATTTCAGCTTTAGTTTTGTTTTTCTTTTTTAATGATAACACTAGATTTTTTTTTTTTTTTTACATTTTTGTGACGACCCCATTTGTGTAGAAAACTTTTGGCAGTCTGATAAAATGAATAAAGAAAGAGTTAAAGATCATTGCCAAAACTGCAAGGTCAAGTCGAGTGCATTGCATGGTTGCACTGTGTTCTCTGTTGTGCACTGCACATTTTCTTAAATGTACTAGTTTATCAAAGTATTCCTTATATATATATATATATATACAGTGGGTACGGAAAGTATTCAGACCCCCTTAAGTTTGTCACTCTTTGTTATATTGCAGCCATTTGCTAAAAATTTTTAAGTTAATTTTTTTTCCTCATTAATGTACACACAGCACCCCATATTGACAGAAAAACACAGAATTGTTGACATTTTTGCAGATTTATTAAAAAAGAAAAACTGAAATATCACATGGTCCTAAGTATTCAGACCCTTTGCTCAGTATTTAGTAGAAGCACCCTTTTGATCTAATACAGCCATGAGTCTTTTTGGGAAAGAGGCAACAAGTTTTTCACACCTGGATTTGGGAATCCTCTGCCAGAGCATATAATATACACAGCATGCATACTAAATACTGCTGAAAGAGTATGAGTAGTATGTTAGTATGCTAATCTATACATAGCTTAATTGTGCTGTTGTTGCTAGTAGGCGGTCCCGCTAATGGTCCCTGTCACTCATATTGCCAAAATAAATTGCCAACTTTCATGATAAATGAATGACTTATGGACGCAAATCGCTGTCAGTGTGAATCCCCTTTAAGAAAAGAGAACAGAGAAGGCAAACTGTCATTAATCCGTTCCAGACGGCGGTTCGGAGGCTGTGCGCATTCAGTCGCGCTGCGCCGGGCGCCTCAGGAGCCGACACATAGAGCTGCTGTTGTCATGGAGGAATCTGGTGCATCATATCACGGGGTAGTCACCTCCGACCCCATGCGTACCCGCTATTAGAGAGTTACTGGAGAGTAATGCTGACTTCAGTGTCAATGTGAATCAGCAGGACCTTTTTATTACAGCTCAGAGGTTGTTTCCTTGGGAGAAAAAACAAATACCTAACATAATCAATTTTGTCAATTTTCATACAAAAATATGAATGGTACTCGCCTGTGCAAAAGTCTGATGTGATGCTAGGGAGCTGTGAGTGGTTTCCAGGGTGTTGACCTGTAAATAACCTGCAATAACAATTGTGCCCTTGTGACTTTAAAAAATTTGATCACTACTAACCTATCCACCTTTTTCTTCAACGCGGAAGTAAGCCTATGGGTGAGACTTCCGGTTCATTAGCCGCTATAGGTAAATAACGAGGAGAATAACAACGTGCAATAAACTGTAAAACTGTTTGCACTACAAACCAGTGTGTTCATAATGAAGATAATACATTGAAATAATATAAGACCCACCAACTTTCAATATCAAGCAGCAAAACTAACTGTTTTGTTCAGCTAAAAATAGCTGGACGGAGTGGACACAGATGAGACTGGAAGCCAGACCCATAGAATTTACAAATGGCCCCCAGTTTTACGACAAGAAAAAGGTGGATATACGGTGAAAACACTCAACCTAACAGGATAATGTAATTTTACAGTAAAATACTGTTAAATTTACATTTTTGAAAGGGAAAACAAGAAGCCATCTTATAATATATAATACAAAAAAAAAAAATTGACAAGTTAAATCCCTAAAACCTAAAATGTTGCTACCGTATTTTTACGGTAAAAAATTTCAGTTTTTTTTTTTACTGTAAATTTCAGATTTTTTTAAACAGCATATCATTAAAAACAGTAGCAACAAACATTCCAGGACAAGTTACATATTTAAATTTAATACTTTAGTTAAGGGTTTATTCAAATCACTAAAATAATATAAGCAGTAGTAATAGTGGTGCTCGACTTACAAAACACTATTGAGACAAATGCTGACTATACAGTAAGAACAACTCTATTAATAACAATAGTTGCTCAATATATGCTAAATATATTTTAAAGTATATTGCATGACCATACGTCTGCTTTTTCCACACATGTCCCGGCCGGGATTTCTAAACTTGTCCCTCATTACCTTCAGCAATAATGAAAACAATAAAAAAACAACTAAAAAACAAAGACGAATCCCGGCGAGGACAAAGAGGATGCATAGTCACGCTAAATAATATTACTGTTAATGTGGAAGGCATAATTAACATAATTAGGTCTTTGATGAAAAATGCGTAAGACTCTTGAAAGACTAAACCAACATGTTTGAGACATTGTTGAGATCTGTCTTTAGCAGAAAATCGGTTGTGGCTAGAAGGGATACAGCAAAAACCGGAAGCTAACGATAAATTGAATTTTGTACCTATTCGATCAGGGTTCCTCAATAGGCAGCCACCGAGAGAAAAAAGTTTGGCATAATGTGGCATGAAAATTCAAACGCAGCATCAGCAAGCTACATTAACTTCCATTGTGTCTACACCGGACGCGAGCGGCACGGTGCGATGCAATAAAATACAATAGAACTCATTATAATCAGTGATGCTGTCTTGGATGCGGCGCGACAGGACAAATCCCTGATAGTAAACTGCTGACTCGTTCTATTTATAACGTACTTACTGACACAACGTTCAAATGATTTGCAATGCTTTGTCGCGTCCAGTGTAGATACGATGTGACAGTAAATACATGGCAATTGTGTAGAAAAGAAAACTGGACACGGAAAATAGATTATTCAAATGTGAATGGACTGAACAGTTCCCTTTCATGGGAACTTCGAACTGCGTCCTCTAGGGGTCGCTATGGGGAACGCCTCGTCGTGACCCGTGTCTGAAGCATACATTGAAAAAACACCAACTCGTTGGCCGGCGACAGCCATGACGTCACTACCGGTGCGACTCCAGTATAAATCGGCGCCGGGAGCTACACATCATTCTCTTCTTCGTCTTCATTGACTGTTCTGTTTGAAGCGTGCATTTTCAAGGAAAAAGTAAGAGCTATCTATTTATTATGGCGAGCACTAGTAGAGCATTTAGAAGGTGTGTGCATCCGTGTCAGCGCTATTTGACACCAGATGACACACACGATCTATGTGTTGTTTGTTTGGGCGAGGAGCACGCACGCGATGTCCTCGAGGGGGCAATCTGCGTGCATTGCGAGTTTTTTCCAAAGAAAAAACTCCGTTCTCGTTTGTCTCTCTTTTCAAGTAAAGAGGGGCAGCCATCTGCTTCCCGCGGTTCAGGACCCTCCGCTGCTGAGGCACGGAGGAGAATGAGCTCGTGGGGATCTCAGGTGGACCTGGCCGATGAGTTTAGAGAGGGACTTTCCTTCTCGCGCTCATCGGCGGGGGGCGAGAGACAGCCACTGGAGGATGATTTTCTCTCTTTAACATCATCTGATCCAGGGGCCAGTGCTCTGCTGGGTTCAGCCCAGGAAGAGCAGGAAATGGATGATGAGAGCGAAGAAGCTGAGGCTGAGCCTTCTCAATCCTCCTGCCCTGCGTATGATGAGCTCTTAGAGGTTATGGATCGCGCCACGGCAAGACTTGACTTGCCATGGAAGCGGACTAAGGAAGTGGCGTCGCGAGGTCGTCTCGACGAACGTTATCTTTCTGGCCATAACCCTCCAGCTCAGGTGAGTCTTCCTTTCCTTCCTGATCTCCATACTGAGATCGAGAAGGAATGGAAGAAGCCGTTTTCCTCACGCATCCATCGGTTTCAGCATACCAGTTATGCGAATATCGAGGCGGTGCGCGAAAACGGCTATGAGAGAATGCCCCCTGTAGAAGAGACGCTAGCTAGCTATCTCTCTATGGGAGAGACATCATCTCTCAAAACTCCCTCC